GCCTTCTTTCTTTGCGTGAACATTTGGGCGGCGTTATGCAAATCTTCCCACATCGTGACGTAGACATGTGGGGGCGTGTTAGAACGAGCCGTTTTAGGTAGGCGTGGTTGACTCAACTTTTATAAAGAATATCTCTTTGGATTTGAGACTTTAGTCTTTGCAACTTTACAGATCTTCTTTATGCACCAAGAGCTTGTAACACTCCAAAGAGAAAGGAAAAATTGAAATCACATCATATGCCCCCTTAATTGTCATTAGCAGTCCCATGTGCATGATCGCATGTGTTCTTTTTGGCTCTGTCTTTCCATTTTTACCTCATATACCTACTGTATATACTGTATATTCACGCTTGAACACAAACCCAATCAACTGTAATCAATTTGGCAAAACAAGCTCTGGTTCCTGAATGGGGTCAGATGACGTTGTGTTGTTGGCTGAGGCCAATGCGGACAGGTTTTACTCTTACCACTATGTGCTCTGTCACAGTTTGACACTGATATTTTGTTAAACATGTAAGACATAAGTTCTGTTAATAGGATATTGAACATTAGGGAGTTGAAAAGGAGAAAACAGATCTATCTATCTATCTTTCTATCTATCTATCTATCTATCTATCTATCTATCTATCTATCTAGTATTATTAATATTATTGCAACAATTGCAACAGATTAATCATGTTTCATTTGACACTTATTAAATAATTTATTTGGGAAACAAAATACATTGGCTAGATGCAGCCAGATGCAGTTCTACAGTTTTTAAAACAATTGCTTCTGAGTGCATTTAGATTGCCGTTCAAAAGTCTCTTGCTTGCCAAGGCTGCATTTATTTGATCATAGATACAGTAGAAACAGTCATTTCACAGCAATCCGTTGTGATAGTCCTCAAATCACTGGGTCAGGCTGGACATATTTGTGAGTGTGTGTATCCTTGAAGGCCCATCAAAGCTGCATAATGCACACGGCGTTACTATAGAAACCCATGTGAAGGTTCACATGCATGATCTATCTATCTATCTAGTATTACTACTTCCAAAAATAAGATTCAAGCAAAGACTGTGCAGGAGTATTTGGCACTCTTTGATACCTGCTGTTCCTAAAGCCATTCTTCTTAATGTCCTTTCTAATTTAATCTGAAGGCCTTGGAGTAGGTTGACCTGTCTGGATTAGCTGGAGATGTGCTGTGCTTGATGACCCCTTAATTATTAAGTACAAGTAGGGTATGATAGGGGGCTTTCATCTCTTTACTTTAGCAGATTGACTTAGTCTGGTGTCTGCTTTTACAATCTTTTGGGCTCACAAGATTGGAGACATGGTTAGTTACTGGTATACAGACCAGTGGGTTATGAGGCCAATAAGAAGGGATTATGGAATGTGCTGAAAAAAAAAAACTGCAGGTTGGCTGGTGGTCTACTTAGGGGATTGTTTGTATGTTTGCTCTAAGCTGGATGACGGTTCAAATGTCTGCTCTGGTGCAAGTTCCCATCCCTTTCCACATCCTACTGACTGAGTGGAGCTCAAGGGGTCAAGTTTTTTCCTCTTAGGCATGGTCCAGTTAGTCCCTAATGGTAGATTTTGTAACCACACTATCTGGCTACAAATGCATTTTTCTCTATTGACTGTGATATATGGCGTTACTTACAGTATGTGCAGTCTGTTGTATTGCTGTCATTTACTTTTTATTAGCTTTTTTTTTTGTCAGTTGTCAATTTTTGTTCCCCTGTTGTTTGTGCTAATATGATGTTAATGATTCATGCAATCTATTGTGCTCTCATGTGTTCATTACATCTGCATTTGTTCATCATCATGTACAATTTTGTTTGTGGGAAAACGATTCCTTGAACAAATGAGCTAATGGATCAGATGCTTCATATAAGCAAATGCTTTCTAAAGAGCTTTGATTTAGCTGCATGAAGCAGGACATGGTTGAGTGACACATTAGTTCCAGGTGTGAGGGGAAAGAATTCAAGAGTAACTGAATGATTATCATACCTCTGTGACTGTGGGTGACTTCACAAACATATGTTCTTCTTTAGAGTTACATTGATTGCAGACAAAAAAAAAAGACTCAACAAATTGTTTAATTCCGATTTTGAATTGCCTCACTGATGTCACTTATAAACTGTTTACTTTAAGAAAAATAAAGTCCTCTTTGTTAAGAACAGCAAAATAACTCACATATTCTCTTTGTCCTCTTAGGCCCCAGCTTTAGAGGACTCTGGGAATGAGACAGCCTGTCTGGATGATGGGGAGTCTCTGCAGGAGGGGCATGGAGAGCAACAGGACTATCAGGAATGGTGTGAGCCAGTTTCTGAAGCAGCACACGACACAAAAGAGGAATATTTTGACACACACTCATGTCACAGTGACACTTTCTCTGGCTTGAGTCATGAAACTAAGGACTGCTGCAGGACACCGCTCAGCTCTGTGGGTCATCTGGACTCACACTCACCTTCGGTTAGAAGGAGAGATCCCTCTTCATCAAAACTGCATCATTCTGTCAATCATGCTGACAGTCTCAGTAGAACAGAGGATAGAGAACAATTGCAAAAGCAGACTGAAAATATGGGGATGATGTGCATGGGAGTTGATGGCACTGGAATGTCTCAAGCTAAGGGTGCTCCGGAATGTGAGGAGGTTTTCAGCAATTTTCCAGCGGGACCTGATGTTGATTCTTCTTCAAGGAATGACCAATCCTACATCGTAACACCCCTACTGGCATTAGAGAACGCTGTAGAACCACAAACACTCACTGATCCATGTGCTAATGACTCATTATTGACCTTAACAGACTGTGATGGAGCCAAGTCTCAGTTTGCTGACACCTTTGAGGGAAGATCAAAATGGGATCAAATTAACAAAAATATCACAGACACTCAGTCAGCACACAATGAGCCACGAATACAGTTCATAACCTCAAGTGAGAAGCAGTTACAGCAAAATGATATTGACAGTAGTAACACTGAAATACAGTTGATTTCGAATGCATCTGTTGCGAATAGTAAAGATAACGAATGTCGTGAGCTGGGTGTTGATGAAAATAAGATCAGTTTATCTGTATCACGTCAACTTTCTGTATATGAGTCTGTATCAGTTGAGAAGCCTATTGAACAGGAATTTGAGGAGTCAACAAAACACAGCCAATCACATCCCTCAGTAGAGCACAGCAAATCACAGCCCTCAGTAGAGCACAGCCAATCACAGCCTTCAGTAGAGCACAGCCAATCACAGGCATCAACAGAACTAATCCAATCACAGGATTCTGTAGAATGCAGCCAATCACGGAATTCAGCAGAACAGAGCCAATTACAGGCCTCAACAAAAGACAGGCCATCACAAGATTTTGTTGAACACAGCCAATCACAGAATTCAGTAGAACTCAGGCAATCACGAGACTCAATAGAACACAGTCAGTCACAGGATTCAGTAGAATGTAGGCAATCACAGAATTCAGTTGAAGACAGCCAACCACAAGACTCAGTAGAACATAGTCAGCCAAAGGATTCTGTAGAATGCAGTCAATCACATGATTCTATAGAATGCAGCCAATCACTGTATTCAGTAGAACACAGGCAATCACAAGACTCAATAGAACACAGGCAGTCACAGAGCTCAGAAGACATGCCATCCCAAAATTTAATCAAACACAGCCAATCACAGACCCCAGTAGAACACACCAAATCACAGGATTCTGTAAAATGCAGTGAATCACAGAATTCAGTAGAACACAACCAATCACAGACCCCAGTAGAACACACCAAATCACAGGATTCTGTAAAATGCAGTGAATCACAGAATTCAGTAGAACACAACCAATCACAGACCCCAGTAGAACACACCAAATCACAGGATTCTGTAAAATGCAGTCAATCACAGAATTCAGTAGAACACAACCAATCACAGGACTCAGTAGAACACAGCCAGTCACAGAGCTCAGTAGAATACATGCTATTGCAAAATGTAATCAACCACAACAAATCACAAGACCCAGTAGAATATACTCTGTCACTGACCTCACTACAACACACCCAATCACAGGATTCTGTAGAACTTAGCCCATCAAATGATTATGTAGAATGCAGCCAATCACAGGATTCAGTAGAAAACAGTCAGTCACATACTACATCAGAACACATTCAGTTACAGAAGTCTGTAGAATGTAGCCAATCACAGAATTCCATACAACACAGGAAATCACATGATTTAGCAGCACAAAACCAATCACAGAACACCATAGAGCACAGCCAATCACAAACTCCAGTGGAACACAGCCAATCACAAACTTCAGTGCAACACAGCCAATCACAAGTTGATTCCATTAAGGCAAATTCTATGAATACACAGTGGACTGTGGCCGAGTCAGACTCTGGTTTTATTTCAAACACAGCTTCTCTTTATGAAAAGGGACAATTAAAACAGGACTGTGTGGACGTATGCATGAATTGTGAAGTCAGTCAGTCCTTGAAAACATCTGGAAGGCTTTCATCAAAGGATACTGACAAAGAACTCGATTTGAACTTCGAAAAGAATAACAGTCTACATTTAAAAAAGCAGAACTTAAATGACACCCTACCTGTTGTATCTGAATGCGAGTCTTTTGCAGCTGAGAGAGCTTTCTCAAATGTGCCTAATGCAACTTCTGCTGGAGTGTCAGATTCACTGAATCAACATGTGATCAATGACTGGACCTCAGAACAGTCAGATCTGCAGGCCAGACCTCATTACAGTCAACACAATTTCCCAGTTTTACAAATGCACACTGAAAAAAGGGATTACTCAGTTAGTAGTTATCACATGGACAGTCATTGCTTAGAGGACATTGTTGCAGGGGAACATGAGCCTGAGGCAGATTTTTATGAAACCCGTCAGTGCCCTAATAGCAGAAATAACTGTAACACACAGGGTGAATTCACTGAAGCACAAGTGTATGTTAACACTAAAACGTTTGATACCAATGATGGTGACGTTTTAGAAGGAACACAGAAGAATAGCAAAACACATCACATTATTAAAGGGTACCAGAAAGAATGTACAATAGTTCCCTCGATAGAACAGTCAGTAATTTACTCTGATAGTTCGGGATGCATAGAATACACTAGGCCTAAGTCATTGAGTGTCACGTGTCCTGACATGAAGACAGCTGAAGCCGATGGGTGTCCTGTAGACAGTCCTGTCGAATCTCTGGCTAGTCTGTTTGAGATTTCGTATGACAAATCTCAAGTCAGCCCCACAGATGTTTGCTTTGAGCTCAGTGATGGCCTTCATATGAACTGTAAACAAGTAGCACATTGCATTATAGAATATACAGAGACCTCCAAACAATTTCACAGACCCAACACCCTGTCTGACAAACAAGCAAGACAAAACGAGTCAGATGAAACAATTGAGCCGGATGTTGATATTTTGTCTAGTGCATGTACTGATCCTTTCACAAATGCACAATCCCCTTTTGATTATTCCCAGCTGAACAGTAGAAACAATGAATACAGCTCAGACACAAATAATAATATTAAAGCCATTACTTTTGAAGAGTGTGCCTCAGGTGAACAGATCTCTTTGCCCAATTCTTTGCAAAAATACAGCAGGTTTAGTATCAATGCTGGATCTTTACTCTCAAAAGGTGGTGATTGCAAAGACAATGCCCCTCCTAGTCAGGCTACTCCCTTTAAAGCACCTGAAATGAGGACTGCAATTGACAGCAAAGATAATGTTGCTAAACCTTCTGAATTCAACGAATTCAGCATCCATAGAGATGCTATACTAAAGCAGCTCTGTGATTGCTGTGGTGGAAAGGAGTGCCAGCTGCACTCGCCTGCAGTGGAAGGAGAGCAGACAGCAGGAGGATTTCAGTTCAAGGGCACAGACGGCATCAGTCAGAGCAGAACTGCAGTGTTGCAAACCTTGAGTACCTCACACACACATGACCAATGCAACACACATGGAGAGGTTAATGCAGACTCTACAAACTGTGAATTTTCACATATTGGCCATTTGCTTGCACACAAACATCCGGAGCCCGTCCAAGAGAAAAGCATATTACCACTGAGTGGCTCACTCAAGGTCGATGATACTTATGCATTGGAAAACATGGAGAGAAAGCTTGAAACTTTCATGGCTAGCTCTCCTGAAAGCACTGATTCAATATGTGAAACTTCTGATCCTCTATGTAAGCAATCTTTGCAACTGCGCAACTTGGAGACAGAGGGCGTATTTGTTACATGTTGCCGTATTTTACCCATCACTAATTTAGAGGCCATTTTGGAGTCAGACCTTTCACCGGAGAGCTCATTTGTGATAGAAAATGGACTGAGGGAGCAACAGGGAGGAAGTCCATTATCAGAAGGTGGATTCAGTGAGGAATGGAGCTCTTGTGATGACGTCACAAACCGCACACATGAGAACATTTCTGCCATGTGTACAAAAGCCAACGTAGCCACTGTCATGAATGAACAAGATGCTGGAGAAACAATGAGCTCTTTATCAAATGGTTTTGATAGCAGTGATGGTTATAGTGTTTCCAGTTTTGTGTCACAAGACCTTGACTCCAGTACCAACAGTGAAGAGACAGAGGACAGCACTCAGTCATCATCTAGTCTTCGTGGTTCTTCAAGAAATAAGAGAACCCAATCAGGGAAGGGCTCTGTGTTTTCTGTTTTTTCTCGAATGCCCTCATTCCGCAAGATTAAACGAGAACACAAAGGCAATAGCAAGGTTGATCCAGAAATTAAGGACTCCAATGAGGATGGAGATGAACGGTGTGAGTTGAAGTACAATAGGTCACCCACACATAACAAATCCAACCCTTCACTGTACAAGACCTCTATTTCTCAAAGTACAGATCATCTAACAGCCATTACAAAGTTTGTTGACCACTCCAATGGTGATAGTTTTGAAAAAGCTTTTGCTTTAAACATGCAGAATAGAGAGAAGTATACACAATCCCAAAATTTGTATCAGCAGCACAAAGATGGAGATGCACTGAATTTTAGAGTTTCCCCAACAACAGAGGGATTGCAACAAAAAAGAAGCAAGAGTACCGATAACTTAAACTTGCGCATGAAGCTCGTAATGGCTCACAAGTCTCTGTCTAGCCTGTTTGAGTCCAGATATCCTGAGAGGGACAACCAGGAGCAGATTGCACAGTCAGAGAACGAGGAGGTAAAAACCAAGCAGTCCTGGAGGAAGTCGAAACGGTCTAAGGAAGCAGAACTTTGCAAAAGAACTCTATCGATTCCTGGGATGGTCTGTGACAAGTCCATACATCAGAGCCATATCGATTGTGCCTTCTGTGCTCCTCAGAACAGGTCCAGACTTAATAGCTCACCAGCTTCCCAAAAGAGTTTGAGGAGCACGTGCCATTCTGATTCACAGAGTTTGAAATCTGGTCTTCAGGAACAGTCTGAAGACAGAAAATATCTGGAAGGAGGTGAGCTGCCTTGTGCTCCTTACTTAGATTCTGACCAGATCTCAGAAGATGGCTTCGAGTCCAGTGTAGAGGATAGGTCGCAATCACCTGTACACCAAACTGTTTTTGCACTTGCAAACCAGATGTCACCTACCTGGACCAGATCTTTAAGCTGTTTTGAGACCACTGATACGCCAACGAGGCCCATGAGCCCTAAACCTCATAGTCCTGGTCTGGGCTGGACACACCGGAGGAGCTTCCGTTACCCCTCGAGATCTGTTGCATCTTCTCTCTGCTCACTCGGTCAAGGAGTGAGCACTGACGGTCTCTCCGATCCACCTCAGAGACCGACGTCTCTGAAACCAAGGACAGCACAACTCACAACAACCCACTCTTTTGATTGTGAGTCCTTACTAGAGGACAGCAGTTCAGACAGCCAGTCTCAAAATAGCCTGAATTCAGCATCCCTGATCAACAAACCAGAGGTAAGTCAAAGTCAATTTTGAAGTTTATGATGTTAGGAGAGCATAAATGTGTCCTTTGAACATTTCTTTAAACATGTCCATTTTTTTCACCTAAAGTAACACGTAAAAGATTTTAAGGTTTGTTTTCATAGATTTTATCTTGAATATAAGTGCATTTTGCATTGGTAGATTTTTTTCCATTAAAAGTTGAGGGTTGGTAAGATTTTAAAATGTTTTTTTAAATAAGTATCTTAAGCTCACCAAGACTGCATTTATTTGATCAAAAATACAGTACAAACAATAATATTGTGAAATATCATTACAATTTAAAACTATAATTTAAAACTGTTTTGTATATTAAAGTGCCCCTATTATGGGTAATGAAAGGTTCATATTTTGGTTTTGGGAGTCCCCAACAACAGGTTGACATGCATGCAAGGTCAAAAACACTTTCATTGTATTATAATATGCATTTATTTTTACCTTACTTGCTCAACGACTCCCAAACGATTCGCTCAACGATTAATTTTTCCAAACCCCTCCTTTGCATGACGCTAATCTGCGGTGATTGGTCCGATTGGTCTCGTTTTCATTTCATAATGCCTGATAAAGCAGCCTTTGCAAGTGCAGTGCTGCTTTGTGTACAGCGTTACTGGGGAAACCGCTATTTTCAAAAATCCATAATAGGGGCACTTTAAGATATTTTAAAATGTAGTAATTTATTCCTGTGATGGCAAACTCAATTTGCAGCAGCCATTACTCCAGTCTTCAATGTCAGACGATCCTAGTAATTATTCTAATATGCAGATTTGGTGCTTATGAAATGTTTCTTATTATCATCAGTGTTGAAAACATTTGAGCTGCTTAATATTTTTCTAGAAACGGTGATCCTTTTTTTTCAGGATTCTTTGCAAAAGAACATCATTTATATGAAAGAGAAATCATTTATAACATGTTTTTAATGCATCTTTGCTGAATAAAAGTACTATTTTTTTCCTAAAAGATCTTACTGACCCCAAACATTTGTTATGTTATGTACCAACCTGCAAGTGCTGACAAAATACACATGTATAAGGCATATATCCAACCGATTAATAATGTAATAACTGAAAAAAATATAAAAACACAGTGCAGTGTAAATATCTTGCTAATGTTTACTTTTAACTTCTTAACATTATTAAAAGTCAACATATGACAAACTTCATCCCTTAGTGGAAATCCATTGAAAGACATGTACATGTACTGTACAATAACCACCTAAATTTGCACTCAAAGCATGTACAGCACAGTACTGAGCCAGCCATCCAGTCAGAAGAGAGAAGACAACAGGGAAGTGCATGTGTGCTTCGGGTGAAGTCCAGACAGCAGGGTAAAGCTGCACCCAGACCCATCTCAGACCTCTACGGTTGGACCGTGTCTCTTCAGGGCATCAGGGAGGTGGCACTTGATCTGGAGAGGAAGAGCAATTCGACCGAAACCCGTCGGCGTTCATGCTCATATGAAACGTTGACTGATGTGGAGAACACCCATAAAAAGAAGCTTAACACGCGGCAAAGTTTGTGTCAGCTTAGCTCACCAACATCTCAGAAGCACGAGAAAGTAAGGAACTCGTCAAAAAGGGAGAACAGCCTGACCATCAGCATCTCCCACTGCACCTTTTCGTCTCTTCTTCTTCTTTCTTTCTGCTTTGTGCTCCTGGAATCATTCCCTTGTAGTGCCTTTAGGATTTCCAATTTCTGTTCCGTTTCTTGTAATTTGCCTGAATACACAAACATCTGGCTGAACACATTCACCATTTACGATGTCTTTTAGAAATATCAGATGAGCTTATGAATTTGAGTCATTTAAAATGATTAAAACAATTGCATTAATTTGCACAGTTTTTCCTCAGTACATGTACACAGTACAGTACATATTGACCATAGTATTATATTTAATAATAATAATGATTTTAACACTTTTCTCAGTGCTTTTCATCATAAATAAATATAGATATACAGTTTTTATTTATAATTAACAATATTAATAGAATATTATAGTAATATATACTGTTTGCCACTGTTTTGTCAGTACTTTTCATTATATACTGTATATACATATAGTAAATAGTATATAGTAGAGTAAAAATAGTATATATAGCAAATATTATTTACTCATTATTATTCATAATATATACTTTTATCTCATCCATAGGTGCGCGCTAGACTTTCCCTCACTTCTCCAGAGCAGTTCCCCTCTGTTCCTCTCAAAGACCACTTCTTCTCCCAGAGCACACCTGTTGGACTGGACTTTTTGGGCTGGCCTCACCGTGCATCATTTTCAGGTACGGAACATTGGCATTTAAACCTTCTATGTATTGCACCACAACCTTTTATTATAGTACAAAGTATATTGACTTCCTAAATCTTTCCTTTAAGTCTTGGTTTATTTTATTGTCCTCCAGGGGGCAATGGTCACCTTCATTCTGCAACCTTTGATAACCCTCTGTGAGTTATTTATAGTTCTGTTTGTGACAGTGGGAGCCCAGAGACTCACAGACGTCTTTGATGTAAATTTATAGTCTTTCATCATCAAACACTAACCCATTTGCGTTAAGATACCTGGACATAAACCTGAGGAGGTCCTTGCTCAGCTGCAGTCACAAGCAAACAGTACATCTGTGATGAGTGATGAATTCCACCTACGGCGTGTGATTTCTTAAGAAAAAGCTTTATTCAGTTGTGTGTGCACGTAGCGGAAGCACAGAGGCTATCTTTGTGCAGTAATGCATGGAGCGTGGAGCTCAAAGGCCCCCAGTGCTGATCCTCTCTCTTTCTGCCAAACAATCCTGCTGATTATTTCTCACCCACTCACTGGCGCCAGGCCTTCTCTCGCTCACTTTCGCTCGCTAGAGGTAGACCTGGCATGGGTTTATAACCCCCACCCTTACATACGCTCACATACGCACACTTTTGAAAGGAGACTTTGATTTAGGAAATTGAGTAGAGCGTCTCAATAGAAGTGTAAGCTACTATGAAATGGGGTTTGGCTGACCTTGAGTTGGCTGTTTTGTTTGCCTGCTGTTATAAGCATTATGTTTCTATGATCAACATAAAACCCTGACTGAATCTGAGCCAGTTATATATTAAAGTGTGCATTTTTTCTCCAGAATCTATGATCTGAACTGAGACTTCTTGATGGTTTCATTTATATTTATATTCCTCCCACTATTGCTGTGACATGCTCTGTATTTTGCAAGACCTCTGTAAATGCCTTGCCTTATGTAATATGGATTCCTATGAGGAGAAAGAAACAATGACCTCATTTTGCCCCTTGCTGACATCATGCCCACTCTACGACCTTTCTGTATGCCGCATGGCAAGCCAGTGCAGCATTCCTATTGAGGTTATGCTAATGTAGAACTTGAGTCTTAGTTTGTAGCTTTAATTCAGGTGTTCTTCATGAGAGAAACTAACACCGATACATGCTTCTCTCCACAGAATCGAATCTCAGCACACCAGCACAAGAGGCGCATGGACAGGTCCCCCCTCTGGGTGAGTTTACTCTTTCTGAACCACAATATGAGCTGGACAATTCTGTGAAATATTGAAGGGACATTCAAACCTGTTTGTTTGACCTGTTTGCATCTGTGACTGTTGGGTTGAACGTATTTTTCTCAGCTTGTGAGTTTTTATGAATTCTAATATGGTGATTATATTATGCTATGTTAGTCTGCTGGCTAATAGTCCAATTGGATTTTTAAGTGTGTGTGATTTAAACTGGGGGTTTGATGTCATATTTTGATCTCCAAATATGAAGATCCCCTTGCAAGAGAGCCTCTTTCTATAAATACAGCTATGTATTTGCTTCTCTTATAAATACTCTCTATTTATAAGAGAAAAATAGTTACCATGATGTTGTTGTTGTTGTTGTTGTTATTTACAATGGTTTTGTCAATATGTTCTCTCTATATTAAATATTTAATATTATTATTCATAATAATATAATTCATATAATAATAAGTACAATAATAATAAATAATAATAGAAAAATGTTTACTATTACTATACATAATAATAATAATAATAATAATACATTTAATAATGAAAATAATAATAAATAATAATAGTAAAATGTTACTGCTGCTACTACTACTACTACTACTAATAATAATAATAATAATTGTGAGGGAACCTTTTCGGTTTTTATTATTATTATTATTATTTTTTTCAAATTCTCAGTGTTTTGCATTTTTATATTTATTTATATAATAATTATTTATTTATTTACTTTAATACTACTACTACTTACAATAATAATTATTATTACTATTTTCCAAATGTTATTTTTTGCACTTTTTTTTGCACAACTTTTCCACGGGCCCCCTGGGGGTCCCCCGACACAAGTTTAAAACCCCCTGATCTTAACCAGTGGCCAGTCTGACCTGTCATATACAAGAATGTGAGGAATGTTCCGCTGAGTTTTATCTTTTTTCCGGATCCAGCTCCCATGTTATGTAAAGTGTGGTCACAGCTGCAAGGGTTTGCACAAATCAAGATCCTCAAGTTTGAGTCTGATGAGAAAGCCTTCACACCAGCCAAATTCCTTTCTATTCTTAGTTTCCAGAGATCCTGACCATTTCCGTGGAAATCACGTCCTTTGGTATCACATCAGCATACTGCGCAAGCATGCTTGGGCTTTTGTTGTGATAAATTGTGAACATTTTTGGGCTCGTCATTAGTGTCATCTCAGCTAATTATGGGTTAAATTCTTAGAAGGTGTTTGCAACTCTCAACATCGCTAGTGCTCTCTCCAGGCGCTGTCTTTTGGTTTACTAACAGCTTGGCTTTAACAGTGGAGGAGGGGAGCTCAAGGGGGGATTGGAAGGGAGGGGGAAGGCGGTCCGTTTCAGCGCCAGACCGAGCGTTTCGCATTGAGCCATGTGAGTCATATGAGTCCTCCTCCCCTTAAAGGATCCCCAGTGATGCCAGCCTGTGACTGTATGTGTGTGCGGGAGAGAGAGAAGGCTGATTGTGTGTCTGGGCGTCTGTGTTGAGCCGTGAGCTCTTTGAGACTGTGCATCCAAGAGTGAAAGTAAAAGAGCAGAAGAGCGAGTGAGGAATGACAGAGGGAGGCTGAGGCTACGCCACACACTCGAGCCTTGGAGACGCGCTTTGGACCTGACACCTGCCGAAGCGACGCCACCCTTCTTCCTCTCGCTGTGCATCCACATGCGCACCCAGCACAGTGCCGGTGAGGTGGGCGTCCCGCTGGCAGGAGGTGGCTGCAGTGGTGGCAGTTCAGAGCAGTTACCTGGCTCTGACTCAGACTGTAGCCCCGCTCTGAAACTGGCCGGAGGGGTTAGAGCAGTGCGAGGGGTCATGTCCCATTACTGGAGTCTGGAGAGCCTTCACTCCACCAACGGTAAGACTCTCTCTCACCTTTGGAGCTCAGATGTTTTGAGCTGCGTTTTGAGCTTGACGTCAGTTGATACTCATGCAACGGGTGACGTTCTGTCTCTGTGAGGTTCTTGTGACAGCTCTTGTTCATTGTATTGCAGTCTTTCGGTCAATGTGATGGCATTGTCTTGAGCCCTTGATGGGCAAAAAGTGGTAGCTGAAAGAGACACTGTCTCTATGCAAATGTAAACACATAGCGTAGCATGTCGCTCATGCAATTTGCGTGTCAAAGCAACAGGAGTTTGCCTTCTGACCAATCGACATGTATAGAAGCAACATGAGTTGGAAATCGAGGTGGCGATGTGGTAATCGAGATGCCTTACTGTTGAATGAAGATGCCACTCTCTTTACCGTCTGCATCTTGCTTAGGTTATTGCATTACTGTCACGGATGTCATCTATTGATCTATGTTCCTGCTGGCTCGTAATTGGTTAAGTGGTAATGCTGTGGAAGCCTCTGTCAAGTGAGCCAATGTGTATGGTAGATGTAGATGGATTGCTTAGGAGCGAAGTGACAGCTTTCCCTTCGTTGCCTGCATTTCCTGCGTTCAGCAGCTACACGTATTCCCTCGCAGGATATTAATGTGCGAAATTAGCATGCGTTGAGCTTTTCCACACCTATGTGATATTAAACACTGTGGCAGTGTCATGTCAGCGTTTGTGTAAAAATGCAGCGTTGTATTCAGCACAGCATGAGTGAAAGCACAGGCTGTGTTAAAAATATTTGAGGGGTAACCAACACTGCCCTTTTTGCCTCTGTGAACAGAGCCGATATATCGATTAACGCAAATTCTTCAGGTTTCCTTTCTAAGAATAGAGCAACTCTCTCTCTGAAGCTGGCACTACCCATAGCCATATAGTAAGACAAACGAGTGCAAAACGAGTGATGTAAAATGAGATGAGATGCCAGTTTGAGCAGTATTTTGGTCTCATTATCTTATCTCAGGGTTGGCATGGTGACAGACTAGCCAATGACCGTCAGCCAAGGTAGCACTGATGTCACAAACGGCCACAGCTACCCACGTCAGCTGCAATTTGGATGTTTTTCTCATTTTCTGCTTTGTCCTAAGAGAGATGGGATGTGACTTTTCCTGTGATGGAGGGAAATAAATGGTGCACTGTGAGCCGGGGGCAATAGCTACAGACATTTCAAACAGCGCTGTCACCTCGTCACGGTCCGCTGACCTCATTACAGCACTCATATAGCTGATCGCAGAACAGTCGGAAGAACAAAAACCGGAGTGACATGTGAGAAATGTGTTCAACTGGAACGTTTGTAAGTTTGAACATTAGAAGTGTTAGATGAGAGTTTGTTTCCGCACAAATCCCAAGGCTCTTTCTTGGCATCTCTAGACAGAGAGAGATGGTTTGGGTTCAAGCCAGACTCGACCCGCAGAACTCATTCACTAAACTGAGAGACTCTCTATCCTAGTGTTGGGCAACAAGAACTGGCTTTTTGTGTAATTACTGACTGGGAGGTCTACAGTATGTACTGTATATCTGGAGAAAGCTATCCATTAGCTTTTCCGTTTGTCTCAATGGCATTTGCTTAGCTGCTACCACAGAAGACTGTGAAAGTCCGTGTCTAGTTCACTTTTAAGAGTGGTAACACTTTAGTATAGGGATCAATTATCACTATTAACTAGTTGCTTATTAGAATGCCTATTATTATAATAGCTATTATTATATTAGTAGGCCTACTCATAAAGCACATATTCTGCATGACTAATCCTACCCAATACCTAAACTTAACAACTAGCAGCAAATTAGAAACAAAATGTGTAGTTAAAAAAAAACGTGTTATCAAAAAAAAAAAGTTGTGACGAGAGGGGCGGGGCAGAGAGCCATGGGAACGGAGCGAGGCCGGTGGAGTAAATGCTAATGCGTGACACCTAACCAACTCACCGGTCTCGAGTCCCACGGAAGAGCTCCGGAAGGATAAAAGGAGGAGTAATGACAATGTTGGACGAAAGAGGACCAGGCCTGGATTTTATTTTGTGTTTTGGTTCTGTTTGTGCGAGACAGTCATCCGCGAGGGGCTGTCGTGCTATTTTGTGTTTATTTTATTATTAAAGTTTTGTTCAAATGTTCGCCGGTTCCCGCCTCCTTCTTCCCAACCTACGAACGTTGTTACAAAAGTATTTTTTGTTATAATGCAGTGACCTCAAAAGGTATTTAGACATTTAATTTTAATGCATTATACAATAAAATCCAAGTGCTGTTTATGGTAAAGACACAAAATAATATGAGCACCTGGGAAATAGGGAATATTTCATTATTAAGATGTTTTGTACCATTTGCCTTTAATACAGTTTCCAACCGTCTTAGAATAGATTCATAGAACCTTTGAATAGTCTCCAGTCGAATGTGGTTTGTCAGAACATGTGCCAGTTGCTTAGAGATGTTGGAGGAGGGAACTGGCTACTTACTTTTCTTTCCAAAACTGCCCACAGTGGTTGGCAATTTTCAAGTCAGGCGATTGAGCTGGAGAAGGCGGATGTTGAAGTTTATCTGGGTGCTCAATGGGGTTTATGATGATGACACCATATTTTTCACATTTTTCATATCACTGGTTTCTGTGATAAAAGTTTTAGCAATTGCTGCTCTTTCATGGATTCAAGTTCTCTGTGGTCATTTTTTTTAGGAATCATGGTCTTGAAGGTGAATATTGAAGTTCGCTGTCACTTTTCTAATGTAGTTCTGTTGTTTGGACACAATCATTCTTGTTTGATGGGCCCTATCATTCAGTTTTGTTTTTTGCCCCTTATTCTTCTTCACTGATTAAGTCTTGCCATGCTTTGTGTGTGAATTCATAATCATAAACCCTGTTTTACTTAAAGGGGTCATATGATGTTGCTAAAAAGAACATTATTTTGTGTATTTGGTGTAGTGAAATGTATTTATGCGGTTTAAGTTTAAAAAAACACATTATTTTCCACATACTGTACATTATTGTTTCTCCTCTATGCCCCGCCTTTCTGAAACGCGTCGATTTTTACAAAGCTCGTCAGTCTGAAAAGCGAGGTGTGCTCTGATTGGCCAGCTATCCAGTGCGTTGTGATTGGCCGAATACCTCAAGCGTGTGACGGAAATGTT